ATTCTAAAAAATAGATCTACATTATTTGTCACCGGGTATTGTTTTGATCTACAAAAACGTGATTTTCTCAAAATTTTCGATCTAACCTAAATGCAGATTTCTCCCTTTTCTATTGAACAGCGCCCAGATAATCATTTAATACTGTAATAGCACATCGTTATATATATATATATATATATATGAGTGCTGCCAAAGCAAAATATTAAGTATTTCATTGTATACAATGATTAAATACGTAATATCACAATTTTCCCAGGATTAAACTCGCCTTATTGGCAGCACATATATATAGTAACTTTCAACCTTTCTATCAACAAGCTTTTTTTTTTGCTTGTATTTTAATTATACGTATATTTATGACAATTCAATTTACGTCCGAAACTAATAATGAACTTACAACTAAAGATAAAATTAAAAATTAAATATATATATATATATATATATATAGTTATAAGGTGAGATATCTTAATAATAGCTGCTCGATAGGTGAACATGTGACGATCTCATGTTCGATAGAATGAAGCAATTTGGTAATTAGTAATACGATTATTGATGGAAGTATGATTAGTCTTAGTAAGTATTAGGATTAATTTATTACTATATATGAGTGCTGCCAAGGAAAAAGGGCTTAACGAATTTTTAATATAAACTTTGATCAATTATTTGAATTCTACAAATATAGAATTAAATAATAAAAAAAATTTTATTGAATTTGATATATAGAATTAAATAAAAAAAAATTTTATTGAATTTGATACAATAGATATCGAGATATCTTTGATTAAAGTTTAGATTAAAAATTCATTAAACCCTTTTCCTTTGGCAGCACTCATATGAGGTAATTAGATCATAGTATATCAGTAGGCAAGCAGGAAATGATGGGAATTAACTTTGCTTTTTTTGCGAGCCCGACTTTCGTTCTGGTTATATTGATCCCGCCCACCCTACCTGGAAGTAAGACAGTATTTGACTTGTCGGGACGGCAACTATAGTAAGAGAATGATCGAAGAATTGAATAAGCTTTTGAGTATAGGGATTGTTTAAATTGTGGCCTGTTGAGACGACAGTCACAATAGAGCAATGGCATGTCGGAACAGTTAATGTGTCACATATCCAAAAAAAACAAAAAAAAAAAAACACAATAGCCAGCCGATACTTGCTAAGGCTGCGTAGATTGCTCGATAGTGGAAGAGGCAGTACCCGTATATATTCTTCATCGTTATAGTTTATCCCAAAAATGAGAGACAAAACAAAGGTATTATGGTGCAGGCGCAGTATCATTATCAACCCCTGATCACTATGCGTTAGCGGGATGGTACCTAAAATAATCAGTCATTTTTGGTCATCTAATTTTGACACGTCTAAAAATCCCCAAAATGGGGTCCTTTACCACAAAATCCCGAAAGGACATAATACCGGCCAGCATTATCACTAATGCTTGCTAACTTTATCGGTATTATGTCCTTTCGGGATTTTGTCTTTCGGGATTTTGTGGTAAAGCCCCTTAAAGCGTGACATGCCGTTTTTCATTAACATTAGAACCTAGATTATGCATGCAAATTATGCAAAATTATACGGATTTTTTACTCTTAAAATTATGCACAAATTATGCTCTATATTAGAAATTAGCGAAAATATTTTTTCAGAAATTGAAACTAAAGTGCAAAAAAAAAAGAAAAAAGAAAAGATTTCATTTTTAATATTTTTTTTGTGAAAATAATTGTTTAAAATTTTTAAAACGTCACTAGTTCTAATACTTAAGTATATTTAAAATTAAAATACCTTTTTTTATACTGTACTTAAATTATAAATTGATATTCTTAAGAGTTTTTATTTGTACATATGTGCACATATACGTAGTAGCATTAATATAACATTCTAATTTTACATTACCAATTTACATATTTATACTGTATCACTGTTCCTAATTTGGTAAAATTAACTAAACGCCCAATTTTAATACATAACTCCGTAATTTTTTTTACATACCAATTTTGCAATTCTAGTTGCAATTTTTTTTAATTTTCGTAAAAAATAAATATTCACATCATTAAAAATGTGTGTAGGAGTTTGGAAAGATTTTAAAGACTTTATCCATACAAGGGGAAATGTGATTGACTTGGGTGTCGGTAAGCTTATACAGTTGACCCTCTCAGAATCGGTATGCATGGTTGACAGGTTTTGTATCAGGCTATCGGATTTGAAAAAATAGCAAACTATTAGATTTATATCGGGAACGGACTTGGTAGATTAATTTTTATCAGATTTGAAAGGTTATCGACTTTGACAGGATCGGTTTTGATAGGTCAACTGTACTAACTTTTCTTAGAACACCTCTTAATAGCTAATTTGATAATATATAATGCGTATTTTTTTTTCTTTTGAAAGGTATTATCATCGGTGCCGCCTTTACATCCGTGATTAATTCTTTTGTTGTAAGTATATATTAATGTACAGTATTTTTATTATTATTATTTTTTTCGCAACAATAGTTGACTTGTCAAAATCTTTTTAATTTTATAGTCTGATATTATTTCTCCACCCCTTGGTTTATTTATTCATGGTATCTTAACTTATTTCTTTTTTCTTGTCACGTGGTATATTGCAATAGCTAACTAACTAGTTCACGTGAATGCGAACAGGATCAAACCTCGAAAATTATTTCATTGTAATCCGGCCCGGTAGATCAAACAATACTGATTATTCGACTCCGGAGGAGGCTCAAGCTGATGGAGCTGTGTTAGTCATAAATATTATTAAGATCACGAGAATTATTATTGTTTTTATTTTATTAACTAATCATATAATTATATTTAATGTTTTATTTTTTAGAACTGAAAATGTTGGTAGGTTTTTGAATTACGTTCTCAACTTCTTGCTTGTTGCTTTTGTTTTATTCTGGATAATTTGGGGTATGTTTATTCAATTATTAAATTATCGTGCTAAAAATTATATACAATTAATAACCGTTTTTTTTTTTTTTATGTATTTAGGTTATAATAAATTTAAATCGTTGAGAGAAAAAGTTGAAGCAACAAAAACTGAAACTTGTCCTTGGTGTTTAGCTACAATTCCTTTAAATGCTACTAAATGTCAACTTTGTACTAGCATTATAAGTCAAAAAATACCTCCTGAATATAAAAGAGACGCTAATGCTGGTTCAAATAGTAATACTTTAATTGATTTACAAGATTCCTAAAAATCTACTTTTATGCTATTTTGAATAAATGATGTTATATTTCTTATACAAGTTGCGTTAAGGAAAGAAAAAATCATTTGATAAATTCAGTTCATTTCTTTTATATGTATTATATGTATTTTATAGTTATATTTTATTAAATAAATTTATTTTTTATTTAACTTATTTAAATGTATAGAGTTGGTAAACTAAGAATGATTATTTACAAAAGTTATACAGTACTGTATAATAATATTGTCATGCAACAAAATTATAAAAATTTCAAATAGCTCAAGTTTACCAATAAAATTTTCTTTATAAATACTATAAAAAATTAACAGTTAAAATAAACCATTATTAAAAATACAGTATGTTCGTAGCCAGTGATGACATTAGCCAGATTTCGTTTAGTTAAATTTATGACTAGAGTAGATTATAAAGATTTTTTAAATAGCGCCTAATTGGCTTAGTTATTATAACCACTGAAATCACATTGTATATATATAGTACTGTACGTAAGGCTTCTTACTATATCATTACGATAATAATAAGATTTGAGATTTGGTGACTTGGGATTTGTCCGGCTTTACCGCATGGGATTTTAGACTTGACCGGCAATCCCATTTGTTATGAACAACCCAAAAGTTCGTCCGGCAAGTATACCCACAATATAGTGGTGTATGTCTGGTTGCACCTTTTGAAACCAGATTTTTAAGATCTGGAGGATCACAGATATTTCGTATCCACTTACAACATATTATATTTTATGTTCCTAAAGATTAATAGCTGGTCTTTATAAAATTCTTTAGCAATCAGAAAATTCGATATTATGTTCGATCACTATTCGATCTTTTTGACCGATCATATACGTATTTGATCGAACACAATAAAACTGATCGGCCGATCATCATCTCTATATAGATTTATATAATTTACCACATCTCCTTTTTTATCTATACAGTATTGCAAAAGAAAACATAAATATTAGATGCACTAAATTTTAAAAATTTAAAAAGTTAGATTAAATAAAGAACTTATAGTTTTCTGAGGTTCTAGACTTTTCTTACTTAAAGCATCAAAACAATATAGATTTAATCACATTTTGACTATTAGCTAAAAATTTACATCAAAGAAAAAATTATATTTAATCCGAAATTAAGAAAGCATCTAATCTTTAATGCTTCACAAGAAGGCAATCAAAAAAAAAAGATTAACTTGTATATTTTAATATCGCTTAAATAAGAAAACAAGATGTATTAAAAAGTTATACAGTATAAATTTTTTTTTGGATTATATAAGTGACGTGAACCATATTAGTTACCATTGATAATTTAGTAAAACTTATATTGATGTACTGTACAATCTAGGATTAAAAAAAACAGATGTACAACAATATTTCTATATCGTTTAACGTTAACTATCAATATAAAAAGAAATCACGGAATAAAAATTTTAATTTTGTACAACTATTTTTACAAATTTAATAGTTACGATATAATATAATATATTACATATAATTTTATTCCCTATACAAAGAAAAATAAGCTAAAATATAATTATTATTGAATATTGTATACAACATAAATCACTTTTCAATATTTTGTAAACAATGTTTTGTTCATTTTTCATTAAAGTGAGTTGAAATAATAATAAATAATAGAAAAAAAAATTCTAATAAAGGATAATAACAAAGTTTGTTTGTATAATTAAAACTTATTTATATTAAAAGTTACGGGATCGAATATTAGAACAAAGATTGGTAAAGATTTTCGTCTATATGCGACCCAAACGAGAAAAAAAAACCTGCAAAAAATTGTAATGGAATTTTACTAAATAAGTGAAATTCTTGTCAAATAAAAAATAATGAGGACAAATTTAACTTGATATAATATATTATCGACCTTTTCTTTTGAATCTTTTAAAAATACTTTATACTGATAGATGTTACAAAAATTAGTATGTACATACTAAAAAATGTGAAATATATATAAAAAAAAAGGCATAAATAGAGAAGCCATGAGAGAATAAAAAAGATTAGTCAAAAGATGTAAATATGGCAAATTAAGATTGGGTCCATTTTTTCGAATTAAATAATCTTAATGCAGTCAAAAGTTCAATTAATATTTAGCAGAACTTCAAACTAAGTGAAGAAGTTTGTAATATTATTAAGCCCAGACCTATAAATGAAAAAGGAAAATGAATTTAATAAATAATCAATGCATATAATAAAAGTGAAACACGTAATGTAAAATATAATAATAACCTTTAATAATGAATCCCAGCTGCCCGTGCACAAAGCCATACCATCACTTGATACTCCCAAGCAACTAACACGATTCTCGTGTGATGCTAACACACCAACACGTTCACCCTTCAATGTATCCCAAACATTACAGTTGAAATCATCGTAACCTGCAAAAAGGAGACGGCCAGAAATAGAAAATGCAACAGAAGTAATACCGCAAAGGATATTATCATGTGTATATTGGTTAAGTTCTCTATCAGCACGAAGATCGAATAATCTACAAGATGCATCATCAGAACCAGTTCCAAATGCATCACCATTTGGGAAGAATCTAAATATAAAATATATAAAATATATTAAAGATCATAATGAATTTGATAACTAATATATTAAATATCATAATGAATTTGATAACTAATATATAAATACAAAATATACAGAAGACTTACTGAACAGCATTGATGTCTGATTCATGACCTGTAAATGTTTGTACACAACGACCAGTTCTGATATCCCAGACTTTTGCACTAGCATCACAAGCACCAGAAACAAATATTTGTTGGTTTGGAGCAAGAGATAGACTACATATAATAATCACAAAGTTATTAATAAATTCTTACATAATAAAAATACTCTAAAACTTTATCAATGATAAGATACCTCATTACGTCACCAGTATGATCATTAAATTCTAAAGTTTTCATGCCAGCATCAATATCCCAAAGCATACAAGTCGTGTCACCTGATGATGTCAAAATTCGTCTATCATCAAGAAATCTACAGCATGAGAGGTAACCTGTATGAGAATTTAATTCTCGTGCAACTTTAACGGAACCTTCTTTCGTTTTAAGATTATAGATAGAGCAAATATTGTCCAAACCACCACAAGCAACATAGTTGCCGGATGGTGCGTATGCACAGGTCATAACCCATGAGGATCTAAGTGGAATAGCATGAACTTTATTTGTTGTAGGTGCATCCCAGACGATAAGTTTACCATCTTGTGAAGCAGAAACAAGGTGACGTTTATCTGATGCCCAATGCATTGCATAAATCTTAGCAAGATGTCCTTTAAGGACACGACGAACTTTCATTACAATTCTAGGTAGAGGGTCAATTTCAGCTGCCATTGCTCTCACTGTTAAAATCACCATAATTGTTATAAACATAAGGAAGAAATATTAAATTAATGCTCAGCCAGAATATTCGAAATATTGACTAATATAAAATAATTAAATCCAAGATAATTTAATTGACTATTTAAATTTCTCAATCAGACATCGCTCAGTTTTATTAAAAATCAAAAAAGTAAAAATTATTTTTAATAAACTGATAACGCACGTCAAGCATTACATAGCGAACTCAGGAACTTACAAGAGGTGTCTGCTAATGCATCTTTTTTCGCTTTAATCTTCTCTTTCAAGGTTTCTGCTTCCTTGCGGGCTTCAGCTATTCTATTTGCGATGTCGGCCATTTTGTATTCTCAATTTCAAGGAAGGGATTAAGGGTTGGAAATCGTCACTTTTCGGGATGATGTCAAAAGGGAGAGAAAATAGTTTTTTTTTGTCTTTTTTTTTTTTTTTTATTTCCCTCGCTTAAGTAACGTGGTTTAGGAAATGGAAAAAAGGGTGTTGGTAAAGAGGAGAAAGAAGGAAAGGCCACAGAAAAATTATAGAAGTGGGCCCAATTCTGGATAATAATAAGTAATACGAGGCACAACGGTTCGGTTGAGGAATGTAACACAAATGCTCGCTAGAGAATTGTAGGACAAATTATTCTAAGTTGGACCAACATTCCTCGTCGATCCATTGGTTAATTGGTTTTCAAAACTTTAGCGTTAAAAGTGGAAAACATGATATACAAAAATAGAAAATTGTAAATAAAATAAAAACGCCGAACCAATAATATCAGTAAAAAATACTGCGGTGAGATAATATTAATTCATTACCCTTGTTCCAATAGCATGGAAGGTCACAAACTGAAATGGAAAACTCTGTTCAGGAAAAAATGGACAGTTCAAGTTCCACTATTGAATTCAAAGTTCCAGCACCTGTAAACAGTAAATATAACTGGCTTTTTAATTTATATTTTTCATTATTATATAATGAACAAACTTTCATATTTTGTTACTGCATTAACTAGCAAAAACACCAGAATCGATACCTCCAGTTCCTTATGAAAAACCCGATTGGAGTGATATATCGAAAGTTGATTATGGTTTTGAGGTTATAAAGGGTGGGCTCAGCGTGGAAACAATAGATCTTCCATCTAAAGAATTTTTGGTTCTCGGTGTGTGAAATCCGCTCAAAATTGTATTGAAACCATTTGGATCAATTATCATTATGTCCCTAACAGCAGAAATTCTAATCTTCAGGACGATTGCCGGTGTGTGATTTATCAATGGAACATCCTGTATCCTAATAGCTTAATCGCGCAAGATTTGAGATTCAACGTCACACATCCGATCCTTGACAATTTACGATATGATCTCTTTTATAGTCAATTTCTAGATATCATGCTATAATTCAATTTAATAATAAAGGTGTGGACCAATTCTTTAAAGAAGATAGTATTTTTTTTTTTTTTTCCTTTAATTTTTAATTGTAACTGGTGATTATTGCAATTTGTTTATTATTTTCAAAAAAAAGGCGATATTTTTATATACGACTTAGATAGTGCACATGGAACTAGAGTAAACAAACAACGAATATCATCACAGAATTATATTAAACTTCGTGTTGGTGATCAGATAAAGTTTGGCGAAAGTACACGAACATATGTTTTGTTGGGTCCAGAAGAAGAGCAAACACAACAGATGATTAAACCTCCACCAAAGCCAGCACTTGAAACTACAGGCGTTACTTGGTACATCAAGATAAATTATTTCTTACTAGTTCTAGAACAATTGTGATAGTAATGTAAATAATTATTTACAATGTGCTTAGGGGTTTTGCAGAAGACGCCGAGGATGAAGGCGAGCCTTTGGTAGCTGTAGCAAAAGAATCTTGGAAACGCGACGAAAATGCTTATTATTATAAAGATCCAAAAAAAGCATTAAGAAATTGGCTTGAGGTTGGTGTTAATTAATAATAAGGTTGTATTTTTGAATAATCACTGATTGTAATTTCAAAAAGAATCGGGGTTATGATATGGAGTTTGAAAGTGAACAAGAAGGACCAGGTCATGCACGAACTTTTACTTCTCGGTATCTATATTTTAGTAAATAAGTATTTTTTTTAAGGGCTATTCGGATTTTGTTAATTCTTTGTATTTCTTAGCATTCAATTGCCTGAAGTTGAAGATGCATATGGTCCTGTTTATGGTACAGGAACTGGATCAAAGAAACGGTTTGTTTCACCTCATTAATTATAAGATTAGTATATTTATTATGCCAATAGCGGTAATATTTTTAAACTTACAACGATCTTTTTGTCATCTTTATAGAGATGCAGATAGGCAAGCAGCAATTGATGCTTGTGAAAAATTGGATATGTTAGGCCTTTTGCGCGGAGGGCAAGAAGAAGCTGGTAGGGATAATATTATTTAAGAATTAATTTAAGAATTAATGTATATAAGCGCCAGTTTTTCATACCAATTTTTTTATGTAACATTTTTTAGCGGCAAGGAAAAAAAGAATTCAGCACTTGTTAGACGTTGAAGATGACGATGACGATAGCTTTTATGATCGAACTGGTCAAAGTAAAAAAAATTTTATCATTATTATATAAAAATGTCATGAGGTTTTTTCTTTTGTTTTAAATAAAATTTAACATCTGCTTTTTTCACTATAAAAGAAGACAGATTAAAATCAAAAAAACCTCAGATGCAAAAAGTTGAGACCTATGAATCTTTAACAAAACAACGAGAAGAGCTCATGATTAATATTGAAGAAATACGAAATAAGATACATAAGTCTGCTGAATCTGGTATATTTATTTTATCTTGCTATATAATTACTTTGTAAAATAGCAATACAAGCCTTTATTTATTTATTTATTTATTAAATTTATCTTATTTTTTTTATTTTTTTTTGTATGTAGAAACATCAAAAACCATAACTCTTACCGATGATGATTTGGATAGTTACATGGATACAATTAGAAACGAAATTAAAGACGAATCTACCGCTAATTTAGAGACAACACTACAAGGCTTGTTAAAGGTAATTTGATTCTCTCTTATGGTAGAGTCTATTCTTTTATTGTTGTATTAAAATCTTGCTATCTTTCATTACATTAAAGCAAGAACAACGTCTTGCACGACTTATCGAAATTACAAAACCTCCCGATATTATACAACATGATAATAGTTCATCAGCTGTAAAAAATTTACATGCTATCAAGTGAGTTTAATTTCAATAGTGATTTTTTTTTCTTAGCGTAAAGATTTTATTGCTAATTATCACAAAATTAAGCTATGAACAAGAATTATCAAATGTTAAAGAAAATTTGGCAAGTATCTTTGTTAGTGATGAAGTATTATTTCAGGTTTATTAAATTTAAGCATGTTTATCTACATAAATAGGAATCCGTACAGATAAAAAATATCGAAAGATCACCAATAATAGATTCAGAAATACAAGAACCAACAGTCACCCCACAATTAATAGAGTCAACTGACCCTGAAAAATCAGATGAAGGAGTGACGTCGATGATTCCTAAGAAAAGAGAAATTTCTCAAGAAGATTCGGCTATTGATAGTGAAAAAGGAAAAAAAATTAAAGCGTTAATTCCAATGACACCACGTGAATATGAAGAACAACAAAGAAAGGCTCAAGAATCGAATGAGCTCGAAATTGAAGATGCAACAATTTGGGAACCACCTCAGGGACAAACAGGTAAGGAAAAAAAAACTATCTAAACTTTATGTAATATTTTATCGGTACTAGTTATATTATTTTATTCATTAATTTATTGTCCTTGAAAAAATAATTTTAGGCGATGGTAAAACATCATTAAATGAAAAATACGGTTATTGACAATTATATAATAGGAAAAAAGCATGCTATATTGACTGGTTACGACAATTTTAACCTAATTTAATCTTAGCAGCAATGGTTTATTGTTACTCTTTTTATTAGAGTATATTTCGTACAATCGATTGAAGATTGTAGAATTAAAAATCCCAAATAAAACATAATCACAAACATTTTTCAAAGATTCAATTAAACTATTAAAATTTTATTTTTTATAAATCACAATTATATTATAGTCACTGTTACAATTTTTTAATAACAATCTTATATAAATTGCTTTTTATAAAATCATATTTCAAATTATATAACTAATAATACATAGCTAATCAGAATGCTATATCCAGTTATATATTGTATAACCGGATATATATAGACAAAATTCGTTTACCGTATTACCGCGAAATAACGCGCAGGGGTGAAATTATGAATTCACGGCCTAAATTAAGCTTAATTCGGGCCGAACCTCGAAATAACGTCCATCGCGGTAATACGGGTATATCGAAGAAGAGTCTTCAGTGGATAAGAAAAGAAGATTCGAATTGCTTTGTGTTGAGATGAAAGTAACAAGAGTGTGTCTAAAAGTGGCTTGCTCTTATACATATGATTCTAAGACATCAACTTTCTTGTAAATTTTTAAACAGAATAACTCAACCAAACCTTGATCAAATTTAATAAAAATTATTTTAAATCAATTCTAAAAATTTTTTTTTACGAATATGTTTAAATTTTTGCTAAATTATGTTTATAAAAAAATTTCATTAAAAAAAAAGATATGGTGCATTTTTATTGACTCACTCCTATATACAGTATTTATTCATGCCTTTTGTTAAATTTTATGCCATGCCAAAAGGCATGCTATATAAAATAGTATATTATTTATAATATAGGCCGGTGCAAAAATGCGGATACACCAAATCAGTAATAAGAAAATTTTTTTTTTAAAAAATCAATGTAAGTTTTTAAATTTTTATTATATTATCATGCTTTTCAAGTTTATTTTAATATAATTTTATTAACATGTTTAATTTGAAATATTAGGAAATGATTTCCTCAATTTCAAAATCTTCAGCATCACTTTCGATCAAAGTAACGTTTTCATCGTGATCCCTATATTTCTGTGCTTTGGTAAGTGATTTTTTCCAAAGATCTGTGATAGTTTTAGAACTGACCTTTTCTGTAAATACTTTTAGCAATTTGTTTCGAATTGAAATAAGGTTTGGATGTAAAGCGGCACTAGCAACCTCTTGCTTTGCGACTGCCCAAACGCCTTCAATCGGCTGAAGCTCACAGTGGTATGGAGGAGTATAAAACAAATTATGCCCATACTTACTAGCAATTTGAACACAGGTGAATGGTATTTTTTTTTTATTTCTTTTTACCAGCTTATAAAGTTCGGCCTTACTACAACTTTCTGATGCAATAATATTGATTGATGCCAACCATGCAAGTAGTACATCTTTTCTTGAATTTGATGTTGGCACTTGTTCAACCCGATATTTATGATAACGGGCCCCATCTATATGGATATCTGCTGGTTCATAATGCTCTTTAATATTTGCACAAAGTTTTTCAAAAAGATCCTCAAAAATATCTGCCATGATAATCGATCTGATTTGCTACAATATTGGCATTACAAATTGTATCTGGGATATTTTCCCATTCATCTGCGTTTAACCTTTTCTTCCTCTTGAAGAGGATTTTTCTTTAATCGATAGGTCCCAAATTAAAAGAGAGTTGGAAACAATTTCACCTTCAATTTTATTCATATTACAATTACGCATTACTATAATTGCGCCAAATATAACTAACAAAGGGCCATGCCCTGGTGAACAAACGATTCCATGGGATGGTACCCATGCGCAATTTGTTGTATGGTGTAAATGACAATACGATTCGTCTAAAAAAACTTCTGGTCTAGCTGGAACATAATTTTTACCCTGCAAGTTATTAAACCGCCACCTTAAATAATGCCCATGAAAAGCTACAATTCTAGCTGATTCGTGTAATATATTACGACATTCACCATGACTATAAAAATACCCCAAGGCATGTAAAATTCGAAGTAACTGCCATTTTGAAAGATTATAACCTTTTTCTTCAAGCAGCTGCCACAGTACAGGTGTAGAAAGGGGAGTACCAGAGGTATTTGCAGGTATAACCAGACTATGTATAATATATGCAATGTCTGAATCAATTTCTTTTTTGGGACGGCCAGGCGATTTATGTTCAATTAACTCTTTATTTTTACTTTTGTTCCATTTAGCAACTGCCCGTGCAACTGAGGCCTCACCAATTCCCAAAACTGTGGCAACAAGCTTGCGTAGTGGCATATCTTTTTGTTGCCTCTGGCCTTGTTGACAATCCAAAAAGTATTTGTGAACATTAATAATCATCTTACATTCATTAATACTTAGCAGGCCTCTGTCTCTTTTCAAGTTGTCCATTTTGATAATAAAAAAAAAAAAAACTTTAAATAAAGTTTATTGATCGAGCTTACCTTTTTTGCAATTTTTATCTTGATATAGCCTAATTGGCTAATTTTCCATTATTAAATAACTTTAGGTAATGATCTTCATGTATCTATATTTTTGCACCGGCTCATATCATATATATTGTAAATATAATTTTTATACTGTACCTAGTGGAGGACACCGAACAATATATATAGAGGTTATATTGGCTTTAATATAAAATTTTTAAAAATTTTATCCACTTTATATAGAGCTAATTAACCAAATTTTCTATATAAGCTAAAAAAATTAAATATTTTTATCCAAAATTTAAATATAACAATTGCTTTTAATAAAAATTTAATACAAGATATAATAATTAATTTTGTTAATTTATAATATAAAATAAAGATATTTTTTGGTAGAATTAAAATTTATTTTATAATAAAACTATATTATAACTAATTGCAATTTTTTTCAAAATAATATAATTCTTTATTTATTTAATTCTAATATTAAAAAAAATTAAATTGACTTGTATTTGTACAATTTTTATTAGTACGAAGTAACTTTAATAGTTAGGAAAATAAAGTGGTGAATCAATAAATTAATTAAAGAAGAAAACAATACATATTATATATATATAACAATCAGTTATAGTATTACTCAATTCTTGTTAAAGAGTATTTGTATACAGTTCATTAATTAAAATTAAATATTTTATGCATTATTCAATTTATTTTGTTAAGATAAATCAAATTGTATAAGAATTATTAACTTTTAATTAATAAATTATATATAAACTTTAATATAAATTGATTTACTACTTTTCTAATTACTTTTTTTCATCTTATAAAATTTATTTTTTTAAAGCAATTTATATAACAATAATTGTCATAGCTGATGCTGAAAACGGCTAATGCTGAAATTTTTTCATATTTTATTATAAAATTATAAAAAATTTTTGGGCCTTTTTTTTACACTTTTTTTTCATAGTTAGGTTAGGGTTAGTAGGGTAGTTTTATTAATAAAAAAGTATATGTGGATTTTAGTAGGTATTATAGATTTAAATAAAGACCCCAAATTTCAGCATCAGCTGCGACAATAATTGTTATATAATTTTTATTATAAAATTTCTTGCAATTTTTGTTTCATATTAGGTGTATTAAAATAATTAAACAATTCAAGTATTGAATAACTAATAGTAAGTAAACCTAATTTTTCATCAAATGAACCAAAATTTCCTTTTCCAAGATAGTAAATAACAGAAAAAGATAATATATAAGTAAAAATTGAATAACTACCATCTAAGATTGAAGAAAATAAATCATAATGAAGTTGAAAAAAACTTTCACTGAAATATAAGAAAGCTTATCAATATGTGAATACGATTTAATAAAGAAATGATAATTTGAATTTTTGTAATATAAAGCAAGAACTTGAAAAAGAAAAATATTATTATTAATTCACCCAATTCCAAACTCTCCTTGCATGATCGGATGCACTTGATTTATATTCGTGGTTGAGATATCTGCCAATTCTAGATTATTAAAAAATAAAAAAAGATAAATAAATAATTGAATATATTTTTTTCAATTAAGATAACGATGCCAAATATCACATGCTTCGATTTTTAAATGCTAGCATTTTCATCTATACTGACTTATAATAAATAAATACTATGTCTATTTTATCAACTTCAATTTCATTCTATCTAATTATTTGCCCAATATCTCTACTATATTTGATAAGTAAATGCTGTATTATCATTCTTTTCAACTCCAATTTCATTTTGATAACAATCACAAGATTATTTGTTCACTATCGTTTCTAATCTTACTTATTTTTGGTATTTTTTTGATCTATTGTCAAGCATTTAGTATCAAATTCCGTGGATTTGTTGATGATGTTTTATAGTATCAAGTGCTAAACTAAAATTTGAAGTAAAGTTAAGCATATATAAAAAAAATTCTTAAAATTAATAATTAAAAATTAACATACGTAGGTAGCTTCGAAATTATAAATTAAAAGTACTTCATATTTTAATCAGTATTGGTATGATTTTAATTATCATTCTTTTTGACTCCAATTTAATTTTGATAACAATCACTAAGATTATTTGTTTACTATCATTTCCAATCTTACTCGTTTTTGGTATTTTCTTGATCTATTGTCGAGCATTTAGCATCAAATTTCATGGATTTGTTGATGACATTTCATAGTATTAAGTGCTAAACTAAAATTTAAAGTAAAGTTAAGCATATATAAAGAAAATTCTTCAAATTAATGATTAAAAATTGACATACATAGGTGGCTCCGAAATTGTAAATTAAAAGTACTTTATATTTTAATCAGTATTGGTATAATTTTATTGATTAAAAAAAACCTAAAAAAAATTCGCAACTTCCATTACGATTGTTAAAATCCACATATTGACGATTAAACAACTGTTAGGCATTATATAATCTTTGCATGTACCTCGGTGAATACTCAGCGAATACAACCACAGTGAAAAGTACTAAGAGAATTGTTCTTACAACAAGACAATGTTTT